TTTACACTCTCATAAAATGCAGTGATTGTCGATTAGCGACTATATTTGTTTTGAAGCAAGGGCTGGTAGAGCGAAAACGCTGATTGAAAACAGTATTCGCCGACTAAAATTCGTTTTAATCTCAACTAACCTTAAAAATTCAATGTCCACCATGAGTATGCAACAAGTGCATCCTATCCACCAAAACTGGGACTTCGATATGTGTATAATTTGACAAGTATTCGAAGAAAAAAACATTGCTTGTGCATGCGATCATTCAGTTGTGAAAGAGATCTCGGGTTATGCATGAGATGAAGGACAAAAAGTTTCAAACTTTACGAATAAAATTAAACATTATATAATTATAACGCAGTCTTGCAAAATTTAAAACATAAAACTATAGAATTTTCTTGCAAATAAGTTGAATTTGTGAGAAAAAAGATATATAAGATAAGTAAACTGTTGAAGTAGATCTGTTAGGGGAGGGGGTTAAAGTTTCAGTTACAATCAATATAATTACAGTAAAAAATTATGTGTGTATTATTTAAATCATAAATCTTGTGTGAATTATCCAATGCATCTTTAATATGACTATTCCGTATGCAAAAAAAAAAAAAATAATTAATAATAAAAAAAAAAGATAAAATAAAATTTAAAAAAAAACAGCATATACTGGGCAGTATATATCATTTTCTTTCAGTACGAAATTGTTCAACTCAAACATACCTTACCTTTATTTGACGGTACTTCAACAAAAGTGGAGGGAAAGACCGAATTTTTCATGCTTTCATTTCATATATATTTTATAGTAAAAGTGCTGTCTGTGAAAAAAATAAGAGGCAGGCTAAATTATTCGATGATATGTGTTTGCCAAGGGGTAAATATTTCCTGGTGTTTTGAAGCTAGGTATCCTGAATTTTGTTATCGAGATGGAAAGGATCAAGATGACAACACCACATTACAGGTGCTTCTGGACAGGACCCCCCCCCCCCCCCCGGACTTGTTGGACACTTTTTTCTCACAAATTATATTTATTACATTATTCATCATGTATACCATAGGGGGAAAATCGTCAAAAATCCAAAATAATCGTTCAATAAAAAATATCCCTATTAAACATTCCAAATAAAATTAATGCAAAGCATCAAATCAGCCGCAAAATTTATAATTTCAAAAATTACTTGTACTTTCTTTATTTGAAAAGCATCAATGCATGGGAAGCACACAATATTCAAAGCTGAAATAGATCAATTTCATTTCAGACTGTCTTCAAAGCAAAAATAAATAAAATGTTTTTTTTTAATTAAATAGAAATTTTAGTGCATTTGTTCATCAAATGGAGTCATCAATGAATCAATAAAAAAGTCAATGATGAATTGTAAGAATGTATGAATGAAGATGTAGGTCTCTCAAGATGAACCACATGCCGAAACCCTGGATCTTTATCACGTGATAATACCCATGGTTTCTGCAGTAGGCTAATCAAGGCGCGTAGTTTGATGGAAAAAATGTAAGAAAAATATTTGTTGTCACATCTGTTGCACATTCAAAACAATTTTTACTACAGTGTTGTTGAAAAACTTTTTCAATTTTTATTCACCTTGCAACTTTAACCACTTCATTATTATCTGGAAAATTATGACGATTTCCTTTCATATCTTGATTACTCCCTGGTTGGGGAGTACCTATTGTAAACTCTTTCTATATAACTATTTATTATTAATTACCCAATTAGAAATGACAATGAAATTGTAACAACAACAATAAATGCTCAGTTTAAAGAAAGTTTTTAAAATTAAGATTAGTTTACAGAACTTATGAAAAATAACGCCTCATTTCCCGATATAAGAGATCGGCCGCTGCTGCTGAAAAAGTCAAAATGTGCTTGCAAAAATGACTGTACATCATTGGCGGATCTAGAAGGTGGTTCCTGGGGTTGGACCCCCCCCCCTCTATTTGATTAGAGAGAGAGTTAAACACGGATATTTTATTACGTCTAATATTTTTAATAAAATAAATACTTTGAATAAAAAAAAATATTTAGAATAAAATAAATACACTGTACATGTTGTTCAATCTCTGTCCTTTCTGATAGCTGTAAATAGAGTTCCCTCGTTTAATATGCTTTCCTCTGAGTACCGTCACATACAATCCGAGCCCTGCTTGCTTGTTTGTGTTTTTGTTTTGTTTGTTTGTTATTGGCTTGTTAAAGTCCCCCATAGAACTGTTGAAAACTCAGTGTTGCCAGGTTTAAAGTGCCTATATGCATGAGTGTTGGACACCTGGAGCCCCCCCCCCTTTTTTTTCAAAAATTGCTGGATCTGCCCTATGCGATGTCTTCATATTATAGACAATATTTAACATTTTATAACTACCAAAAATAAAATAGTATAAGAGGTGAATTATGGAGATTGTATAATACTTGCGTAACTTTTTATCCTTTATCTCATGCATAACCCGAGATCTCTTTCACAACTGAATGATCGCATGCACAAGCAATGTTTTTTTTCTTCGAATATTTGTCAAACTATACAATATCGAAGTCCCAGTTTTGGTGGATAGGATGCACTTGTTGCATACTCATGGTGGACATTGAATTTTTAAGGTTAGTTGAGATTAAAACGAATTTTAGTCGGCGAATACTGTTTTCAATCAGCGTTTTCGCTCTACCAGCCCTTGCTTCAAAACAAATATAGTCGCTAATCGACAATCACTGCATTTTATGAGAGTGTAAAATTAAAGAAAAATAAATTGCTCATGGAATCACATTCTTATATTTTAATAAAAATATCAATTATTGCCTGAATCGAGTCCATTTACTACCTGTGCAGTGGTATTATTCGCATCAACTGCACAACCGGAAATCGATCTCTTTTGATTGTTATACACAACTGCTGGTTGTGCAAGTGATCGATTAGCAGGCGTGATATAGAGAGGGACTAAATACATTGTAAATATTGTAAATATGTGTGATATAAAAGTGAAACAGTGCTATTTAATATATACTGTGGAAATCAGTGCTGCTAAACAATAGAACTTAAAGATAATTTATAGTTTTTAATTATGTTTTGTGCTTGTAAAATTATTTATTTAAAAAATATGTACAAAATATTTATTCATACTAGTGCTCAAATAAAAAAAAAAATTAAAAATCCATTTTATTTATTTAAATTCTTTTAGATTATTCATACAGGTAAATCTACCTGTACCCCTTAGAGGGCCCTTTAATTGAGTGTGATAATCACTTGTTGTTTTTTCCGAGTAGCCATTCGGGGAATAAACCCTTTCGTTCACCGACATTGCCAGTTGTGTCGAACTCCAACGAATACAAATAAGCTGATCCCACGCACCCTGTGACGTAAGCGGTCCAACATCTCGTCGACAGGTCCAAAATCTCACTCTGCGGTGGATTTTATACGCCTTCTCAGTTAAACTTGCATTTAAAATGTTACGATTTTTGGTATAGAATTAAAAAGGACACAATTTTTGAAGGTATAACAAAGTACCTAATGATAAGTGATATCAAATACAATACGATAGTGTTTTATAAACAAAACGTACTCAAATTCTGAAAGTTAAAAAAAATCACATTCAAATTACCAATTATTTTAAAATTTGTTAGGGTATGCAATACAAATCTTAACAAAGGAAATTTAACATTTAAGGAATGACTCTTATTCTTGGCCATATTATCGAGTATAATCTGGTTTGGGTCAGTTTACGCTTTATGATCCGCGCAATAATACAACCGTAGTAACGGAAGTGATTTGAAGTGAGGGGAGGTAATAACTGATACATAGATCTAGCAGCCATGATGTTTGTTTACATGAAGGAAGATCAAGTAAGTTTGTAGTTAAAGGTACATTTCTTAAATGTGGAATTTTCCATGGATTCCGAGGGCTGGAAATGAGATGATTGCATGGATAAGATGATAAAGCTGGTCGTCAAGAGGGTGTGTCCCCATAAAACAGATTATACAAAATGTTATGCCTTCCTTTTTGGAAATCAACCAATGAGAGGCGAGAATACAAATAAAATTAAATTATTTGAATAGATAATCAAATATGGAAGTCTTTTACCATAACGCTATAATACAGATCCGGTAATGCAAAAAATATGCGATCTACTCGTCTCAACAGGCGATAGAACTAGCTTGATTTGAATTGTCTGTAGGATTACCGAAATTTTACAGTTTATTGGTGGTAAGGACGCAGCTAAAATATACAGTTTAGTTATGTTATAGATAATGCCTGGAATTAGGGAATGTAAGGTAGTTGATTGACCAATGATGGAATTCTCCCCATTGAATTTGCCGTAAATTGCACATCAATTGTTTGTATTACGAAATCTGTAGCGTTATCGCCAAATATTAAAATATAAAATCATTACGCTACAGTTCTGCAGTTAGTAAAACAGAAGCAGTCAGATTCATTTTAGAACCATTTCACGCTAAGTTTGGACTTTCAGTAATGCGTGGCATTCTCGGTGCTACATGTTTACCGCCTGCCAAATGGCAAATAGATTCTCATTGGTTAAGAAATTAATAACATCAGGAACTTTTAATTGTTGTTGACAATGATGAGATGACTTAAGCTCACCTCTCACCTCTGTGCAGGATGAGACAATGTTATTGGTTATTCGATACACTAATTGGCATTTGCCCGAATTTCTATTCCATGTATATTTCAACAGTGAAGGAAAGCTGTGTAAATTTCAGCTAATTATGTAACGTGTAGAATGCCACACCTTACTGAAAGTCCAAACTAAGTGTGAAATGGTTCTATTCTTATGGTGTTGTCTTCCCACAACTAAAATATGTTCAAATCAAATTTCGTGATTCTTTCGTTAGTGAAGCAATGATCCAGTTAAACTGTGCATGCAACATTCCCTAAAAGTTAAAACTTTTAAATGCAAATCCAAAGGTTATCCTAAAGCTATATTCCAGATGACAACATTCAGTCCATTATTAATTTACCAACACGCCAATTTGATTTTAAAGTCGGAAATAAAAATGGAGTAAATTATTCAGGTATCCTTTCTGGGAATTTTTTGCTCTACATATACCTCTATTACTTTTCATGATAAACAATCAATTGTATGTGTATTTTCTTATTTTGAGTATATGTCCATATTTTTTTCAAATGTCTATTAGGCTAAAATAATCCAAATCCTAACAATTTAACATTCTTACAGTCGCTGTATTGAGTATTGTTGTGTTCTGGAACACTTTCGTTAGATCAGTTACAAATGTAGGACTCCCTTGTTATTTTTTGATGCAATTTCTTTCGCTGTCTCTTCTTTCTTCTGATCAGCTTCCTACATAAAAAAGATCATATTAAACAGATAGTGTTATTAATATATTCTATAATTAACCAGCACTTGATTAAAATTTTATTCCATTTTTCATCAACCATTTCAATAGTTATACCATATTAACACTTTGAAGTTTAAATCTATTTCTCAGTTTATGGTCTTGGGCACGGTTTACCTTCATTCTTTTCTCATATCCTTCCACTTCCTCGGCCCAATTATAGCTAAACTTGAGGATTTTCAGTTTTGTTTCCTATAAAATAAAGAACAATTGCTAATTCATGCTCATATCAATTTTACAGTCAGGCCTATTTACATGATTGGTTTTACTTTGAGAAACTTGATCAAGACTGTCTTTTTTAGAATGATTTTCAGAGTTTTCAAGAACAACTACATAGGAAAATTTATAATTGATAAAAAAATGAAGAAGTGCACTCACGATGTCTTTGACAGCTTCCCCTCCAAAATATAAAACAACATCCATCTATGTCACCTTCAAGGTTCCAAACAAGTTTTGTTGTAGCAATGATTGTTACATCACATCGGTCGTTACGTTAAATCTCGTGGTCTTTTAATTATGACGTCATCATAATTATTTGGTGAGTATATTGTTCCTATGCCATGTTCTGCAACATAAACAAGAGGCCCACGGGCCTTATAGGTCACCTGAGCATTATGCAACAATTTTCTAGTTATTGAATTTGATTCATGTTTTAAGCCAGATGCTATATGACATTCACAATTTTGAAAGAGGCACCATTGATCATCATAACAATACACTTAGCAGTTGCTTAGCTTGGTTACTGAATACCATATGCAGGGTAGGGGAACAAAAATGCATTCCAACTAACCAGTATTGCCCCTAACACTGTGACATAAACCCCTGACCCTAGGTCCACACATTGCACAAATTTCAAAAAGGCACCCTTAATATCAAAAAATAAATAAATGTTTTATAAATACAAAAGAGCAGATTTCAAACAATAAATTCATTTTCAGTATATAAGTAGAGCCCCCACCCCACCCCTGAACCTGGGGCTTTGAAATTCACAATTCTGCAAAATTAGGGCCCTTGCTCATCATAACTATAAAGGTAGTTCATCTGCTTTACACCCAGAGACAAGAAAAAAATTTCCAAAGATTTAATGTATTTTCATTATATAATCAATTGAGCACCGCCCCCCTAACACCAGAACCCCTGACCCTGGGGCCATAAAATTCATAATTTTAAAAGAGGCATTCTTGCTCATCATAACTATGTACTTAGTTTATTTAATTCCTAGGAGCAGAGAAGAAGATTTTCAAAGAATTCATGTATTTTCAATATATAATCAATAGAGCCCTGCCCTAACACCAGAAACCCTGACCCTGGGGCCATAAAATTCACAATTTTGGTAAAAGCACTCTTGCTCATCATAACTATGCACTTAGTTAGTTTATTTAATACCTAGGAGCAGAGAAGAAGATTTTCAAAGAATTCATGTATTTTTACTATATATAATCTATAGAGCCCCGCCCTAACGCCGGAACCATTGAGCCATAAAATTCACAATGTTGAGGCACTCTTGCTCATCAGAACTATGCACTTAGTTGGTTTATTTAATACCCAGGAGCAAAGAAGAAGATTTTCAAAGAATGCATGTATTTTCACTATATAATCAATAGAGCCCCCCCCCCCCCACAAGAACCCTTGACCCTGGGGCCATAAAATTCACAATTTTGGTAGAGGCACTCATGCTCATCATAACTATGCACTTAGTTAGTATATTTAATACCCAGGGGCAGAGAAGAAGATTTTCAAAGAAATCATGTATTTTCACTATATATAATCAATAGAGCCCCGCCCTAACACCAGAACCCCTGACCCCGGGGCCATAAAATTCACAATTTTGGTAGAGGCACTCATGCTCATCATAACTATGCACTTAGTTAGTATATTTAATACCCAGATGCAGAGAAGAAGATTGTCAAAGAATTCATGTATTTTCACTATATATAATCAATAGAGCCCCGCCCTAACACCAGAACCCCTGACCCTGGGGCCATAAAATTCACAATTTTGGTAGAGGCACTCTTGCTCATCATAACTATGTACTTAGTTGGTTTATTTAATACCCAGGAGTAGAGAAGAAGATTTCCAAAGAAATAATGCATTTTCACTATATACTTACATGTATTTAGCCCCACCCTAGCACTAGAACCCCTGACCCCAGGGCCATGAATTTCACAATTTTGGTAAAGGACTCATTGCTGATTACAATCATGCAAACAGTTTGACTGCTTGATGTCCAGGAGTAAAGAAGAAGATTTTTAAAGATTGCACTAATTTTAGTGGTTTTGGCCCCAGCCCTCAGGCCCCAGGGGGGCAGGGATCATGAAATTCACAATTTTTGTTCCCCTTCACCCATAGATGCTTTGTGCCAAATTTGGTTGAAATTGGTTCAGTGGTTGCAGAGAAGAAGCTGAAAATGTTCAAATGTTAACACACGACGGACGACGAACGACGGACAACGGACGACGAACGACGGACGACGACGGACGAAAACAAATAGCAATAGGTCACCTGAGTTTACTCAGGTGACCTAAAAAGACAAGTGGTTCAATTCGTTTTAGGTAGACTTGATGAATGAGAGGGGGGGGGGGAGATTTGAAGCATAAACATAATTAATGCCCCCCACCCCCTGAATATGACAGTTAAGGAGCACACGGCAAGTGTGATCGGTCGGCAGGGGATGCTCACTCCTCCATGGCATCTGATCCCATCTCTGATGTTTTGGAGCTCGAGGTCCGTGTTTGCTCCGCTCCTGTTTTATGTCCATGTTTAATGGACTTCTGAGCTCAAATACTGTTCGTTATCAGGCACGTAGCACATAGCTACCCCCCCCCCCCCCACTTTTTGCCCAACATAATTTTTACTTTTGGAAACGTTCATTGAAAGGTTGGTTGTCCCCCCCCCCCCCACACACACACACACATTATACTACAGGAAAATGATATCAGAGACCTCCCCCACGAAATAGGACTTTCGAGTTTGGGCAATTTTCCTTTTTCTTTCTTTTTTTTTCTTGTCAACTTTTTCAGGTAAGTCAAAAAAAAAATTTCTCTTACTGCCCCCCCCCCCCCCAATTTCAAAAACGATGCTACGTAGCTGTTATCTCTACATATTTCATTTTTAAGACTTATGACAAATTCATTGTGGAGGTTAAAATAATTTAATAATAAATGGGCATTGCCATATTAGGTTGAATACTGTTGATCAATATATATTGTAATATCGACCCACAAAAATTTGCTTTTTAAAATTAAAAAAAAACTTTCTCTTCATTAATGAAAAATATCCACATGTTATTGATTTTTTCAATTACTAGTAATAATTGTATATGACAATTAATTGTCACAGGCAAATTTTAATTGAAAAATCAAATTTTTGTAGAGGGATAATAACAAACACTATGGAGATATGTCATCAATGAAAAGAAAGGTTAAAAAAAAACCAAGTGCCTGTGTCTGTGCTTCATGTCTATACTGAAACAGAAAATGAAAAGTTAAGAAGAGATCTATGGCACCAGGGACCTAAACATGCTAAATTCTAGTATATTAGGTCCCTGATGGCACAAAAAAATTGAAAGCTCCTTCAAAAAAATTAAACTTGAGATTATTTATAATTATTTCATTTTTTATTATCATGGTTGTCTTTGGGTATTTAGTGAATATTTGATTTTGTACCATTTATCATGTTTATTAAAATATGATAATTATAAATATGATCGAATTGACGTCGATCGAACTGTTTAAAATTGCACGTGCGCGAACTGTGAATTTTGATGACACGTGCAAAGAGATTGAAGAAAAGAGGAAGGGTAAAACGCTCATCTTCACCCATAAAAGTATGGCATTGCGGATACATTTCCTTCATTTTTGATTCATATTAAGTAGTAAACTTGTTATGGCAGCTGATAGGTATTTGAAGATGTACATGCATCATATGTAATGCTAAGCACAATGCATAACTTGAATGTTTTTTTATAGACTTGTTTTAAAAATCACTTTTAATTAGCATAAGTTTTATATATAATTTTGGAGGAAAATGCGAAGATATTATTATTTGGTGCAACCTCACATAGGCACCGGAAGCAAATTGGAAAGGGGGGGGGCTAATTGAAAGGTAAAGGGGACTGAAGTGAACCATAAAAAAGGGGACTATAATTAAGCCCCAATTTGCAATGCCTATTTTATTATCGTTTTACAAACAGTGTGACAGTTTGATTGATAGGGCGTGCTAAACTTTTGTATGCTAATTATCATTTTACTCATCGATTGGATGTTTGATTTCAATGGAATCAATAATACTTTGCATATGAAACACAGATCACAGCAATATATATCACTGACAATACTGACCAATCGCACTGAATAAACAACAATTAAATGTGAACAGACACAGCAAGTTTTACTTCCTATAATGATGATATTGATAGAGCTAAAACAGAAGCAGAGTAGTCTTACTAATTCCATTCTCTGAATTTTCTTATACGTATTCAAAAACCCATCCGGTCAATTCACAACAAATATAATAGATCTACATGCTTTTTGAGGACAGAAAATAGGCTTTGACTGATTACAAGTTTTGACTACAAATATATAGGAAAATTCTTGAAAATTCTGTTTCGCACTGAGATGGTTACAAAGCCAAGATTGGCCGATTTAGGTGCGAAACATCTCATGATTTATTTTAAATATTCCATGACATTTTTATCCATTTTGAAAAATTATTCATCACTCATAAGATATACATATATAGATGTTGTGTGTTCAAATGCATGACTTAATAATATGCACTGCCAAAGATTACGGATCGTGTTCATCAAATTCCATGAGGATTTAATTGTAATTAGTTGGAGATCAGAAGGTGAGAATTTATTAACTGACGTGTTGGTAGTCATAGCCATCAATAATTACTTAATTAGATGGTGGTATTATAATTAGCATGGTGTTAAAATAATTCATAATTACAGTCAAACTTGTTTTAAGAGGCCACCTTTGGGATGTGGAAACTGGCCTCTTGTTTTGTATAGACATTGTTGGCCTCTATTCCAGTTTGCCCTCCAAAAGGACATTTGGTCAATAAATAAACAACATTAAGCACTACAGTTAAAATAATTATATAATAAACAAAATTAAACAGTTCAATTTCACAAAAGCTTTTTATGTGTATATATAATAATTCAAGCTCATTTAAAAAGAATATAAAAGAATTCGAAATGTTCATGTTTCTGTTCCTACATATTAGTTAAACATCTTGCATTCATAAGTGTGCTTTTGTTACATTGAACTATTAAATAAATTCTTTTAATTTTCATGTGAAGAAATACATACAGTGCCTGACTTTTATCCTTTTTTATAAAGAAAAAATTACACAAAAATACAGTTTAGTGGTAAAGAAACTAAAGCATAGGAATTAAAGTAGAAATATGTCAATAAAAAATTTACTTACATATGTTAAAAAGGTAGTTAGCAGTGTACCCCCCCAAACTTA